TCCGCGACAAATAAAGGAAATCGTTCATCGCTGGCTGGAGAACGAACGGCAGAAAGTTCGGAAACGCCTGCAGAGAGCCACCAAGAGTGACAAATGATCTTCCCCCTGTATTTTTTATAATTCACTCATTAAAACATTTGTACTTGAAGGCGCTTATTGATATCCGGAAATGTAATACACTGAGCAATTATATGGGGGCAGATGGGTTATCACTTAGTGTTTAGGATGTTACTGAATCGTACTAGGGAAAGGGATAAATCCGTATAATGGGCTATATTTGCGCGTCGAACGACTTTAGCTAAGTGCGGACTGGGTGCGGAAATCCCGGTACTGGGTACGGATTTTCCGCACCCGGGTGCAGAAGTGTGCGGACATTGTGCGGAAACTTGTTTCATTTTCGCACTGGTTCCGCACCCGGGTGCAGAAATCTGCGGAACTTGTGCGGAAATGTCCGCACTCGGGTGCAGACATTCTGCAGAAATTTCTGCAGCGGTGCTAACTGGGATTAGGTAGAAACGCCTTGTCAGTGTGAGTGATTATTCCTCGGATGGACCTCGTCCAGCCCCAAAAGGCTAAACTGGTTAGTTTTGTCCAAGAGTTGGCGAATGTCCTCCTCAGTGCAAACCACGTTTGTTAGCGGCAGCTCGTAGCTACTTCCTGACAAGCCTGGATGTGACGAGATCGCTGGGACAGAATGCGGGCCTGCAGAGTGTTCTCTGTAAACCAGATACGACCATTGGGTCATTTGTGGATTCCCCGTTTCTGTCCATCAAGGAGGTGGTTGGCTTGTTTCTCCAACGGTGTCTCATGTATTTGAATAGCCTCACGCACCACACCACTAGCGAAAGCCGGTTCATGTGGACCATCGTAAACCGAGGACAGTGTTTCTCTAAAAGGGGGCCAGTGTAATACACGGTATCTGCCACTTTAAAGTTGTTTAGTTTTCTTCGGCTCATGATCTTTCTTTCTGTCTTCTGTCCACAGGAATTGTTGTGAATCCATACTTTCGGAGAATCACTGTCCCCTGCTGCTTCCATACTACATGTGCGTCTAAGGGTATGCAAAGACCGGTCATCCCAACTTGCACGTGATTGGTTAGAAGAAATGGTACATACAGGTCATGCCTCGTCGCCAGCGTAGCACAGAGCCCGCCGTTTTGGTTGATTTATATGTAAGTTTTGGTTTTCTATCCACAAAAATTTTCATGGAACCCTGCCTTTGGTGAACCACTGTCCCCTGATGCCGCCATGGCGTGCATATTACACCGACTCCGAATAGTCGTGACTGCCTGGTGGCTGACCTTGTCCCAGTATCTGCAGAAGGGCAGTTGCTAACGCGGCTCCCTGATGGCGCCCGAATTTCTAACCAGCTGTAGTTATGGCTATGCGGAAGGCAGCTCCAGTCGGGAAGTAACTATTTCACTGTCTACCACCAAGAGATCAGGTGGGGCCTACGTCAGACCGCTCGTGGAGTACGCCAACCAAGTTGTCTACTCAGGACGTACGAAAGACGTCACCCTCATTGAGCGTGTCCAGCGGGCCACCACGAGAATGGTTGCCGGCCTCAAATCCGTGGACTACGAAACGCGTCTCGCGATGCTTGATCTCTTTCCCCTGGAGTACCGTCGCCTCCGAGGGGACCTAATTCTTACTTACGCCCTGTTTGAACAAAGCTTGGCAAACAGGTTTTTTACCGTTGACCCAGCAAACACCCGGCGGGGACATAGTAAGAAAATTTTCAAGCTCAGGGCATACACATTCATTGGACAAAATTGTTTTCATTTCGGGTAGTAGCTGCGTGGAATGACCTTCCTCCGACGGTTGTACACCCTCCTTCTCGAACCCAATTTAAAGCACTATTAGACATTTATTTATGTGAATCCTCGCGCTGGCAAGCATACTGCCCCGCGCTGGGAACATAAGGAGCAGTGCTACACCCTTTTTTCACTTGTGCCTTTCAGGTGAACGACAGCCACTGACCGACAAGAACAAAACCCACCCGGGAAACTTGGGCAAAAGCCTCGATCTTGTGCATCAATCCGTGGATCCGTGTAGTTTTAATCGCAGTTCTTGATGCACAGGCAGGGCGCTTCGGTTCACGTGATACGCCATACATTGACGAACTCATTTTAGGCCTAAGGCGTAGGGATGATAGTAGAGGTCTTCCGAAACTCTTGACCACTAATTGTTCCTTCGTGGAACTGGGTCGTGACGCGGTGGACGTGGTTGTGTTTTGGCATTCCCCCACTGCTGCACGGCTGCGGTACCAAATTAGCTACTTGCGCCAGGAGCCGTATTGCGGGTACGGCTTGATACTGGACTGCCGATCATTATGGGATATATACGGGGATTCAGGTCATGCTTTCCTCCAATATAGATTCGCCGAACATTCGGCGAAATACTTCGCGGGTGAACCTAAGATGCGAACTCTGAGGTACGAATTCGACGAGCATAGCCAACCAAAACTACCACCTTTTCGTGGAAATTGGGCTTGGGTGCCGCAATTACCTCGCAGGCTACAATGGGAGGAAGCCCCTTCTACAAGATGCAGTCATGCCAAGGGTCAAAAGGGGAATGTCCCAGACAACTGGCAGCGAAGTACTAGCGTTCAGCAACGATGTGCTGTAGACGGTGATGGTGATGAAAACGGAGCGACTTAAGTCGTTCTTTCTGAATTCTCATCCGTCGTGAAGGCACCGCATGCGAACTCCTGTGGGCGCGTAAAGTCATATAGAAAGCTTTTATCCTTAGCTCACTACGTCCCCTTTAAACTTCGTTATTAAAACCCTGTATGTCTGTGCAACCTGAATTATTCTATCACACGTTTCTCTGTGCGTCTCGCCAGAAAAATGAAGCACTGCTACATGGCCTTATGCTTGCAGACAAGCCGGTTGATGCGGTAGACAAATCTATTTATCGGGACAGTTCTATGAGGCTCGGTGCTCCTGCTATGAAAGAGATCAACTATCGAGATGGCCAAGGCGGTTTTGCCAGCCCATGACATATATTGCCCCCAGTGCGAAAGTTGCTGATGTTTGACCATCGATGTTTCCGGAGCATTGGTTGGCTCGGGTGGGAATAACGGAATAGCCATGCTGAGGGATGCCACATGGTTTCAGGAAAAGGGCGCCATCCCACAATGGCTGAGCTACTCACGCTCTATAGGAATGACAATCGTTAATTGAGACTCTTCATCGTTACTGGTAGCCACACGATGCAGATGAGTCCATGACTGGCTCGCGCTTAGTGGCCCGTGAGTAGTTCGCTGTCAGTGCTTGTGGTGGCAGTTCATGCGATGTTCGGCACAAAATTAAAGGAGTCGCTTCCCATTATCCGCGTGCTGATCACGGCTTCTATATCCACCTTTAGTTGCGTTCCATCCGAACCTGGTCTTCTAACTTGGGCCTCCATATCACCCGCCAAGACAATTGTATCCGTTCTTCCTGACCGAAGTAATTGTAAAATACCTCAGCGGAATCCGTCCCCCTTGGCTTCGCATCAACCTACATTGGTCTTAGTTGAACGAGACAATCGTACTTGGATTCAGTCCAGTGAAGCATCTTCAGCCTTGTGCTTGAGTGCAACTCCCACACCGTAGGCAAAACGAGTAATTACGTCAGCATTACCAGATACCCGAAGAGTGCAGTGCGGAACATCTGTGCTCGATTTAAACGGCTTGAGGTGCGTGACAGACAAAGAGAGAGGAATCAAGGTTTCAGCAAGAGATGCCTGTCTCTCAATTCGACAGAGATTACGGACACTGAAAGCTACAGGATCAGTTCTGTCAAGTTTAGCAAGGGATTATTTTGGTTTATTTTGCTCCTGCTTTGCCCGTTGCAGGAAGCCAGTTTTCATGGTTAGGGACCGTGATGCAGATGCAGTGGTGGAGAAACATAAAGTCAACACGCGTGCTTCAGGTCCACAGGCGAACGAATGTGAAAGCGGGTGAAAGTGTAGGTGGGAAATTTGCTGGACTAAGTATGACAGATGTGGCTTGACTTTGCGCAGCGTGAGATTGAAGCGTCAAAAACAAACCTAGTATTCTCGCAGCTATCTTACATACAGTGATGACCGACTGGAGAAGAAAGACAACATGAGGTGCACTATGCGCTGATGTTACATAACACGTGGCTGGATACGACCTCTCCCCATAGGGTGTTGATGGCAAGAAATGGCAGCATCTCTCCTTGGTAGGCCTCGGAGTAAAACTCATAATGTCCCGACGGAGATATCCTTCGTCCGACAGCCATTATGTGCGCCATGCGCAGCGCGACATTTCCATGTTAACTGATTGCAAGCCAAGAATGCGATGAACACTAATTCCGCTGCTCGTACCACATCCAAAACGCGCCCGTCTATACATACCAGTGACTGCGGGAAATTCCTTTGCCGCGGAGTTGTTTATTAGAAAACACCGACTAAATAGTCACAGACTATGGGACAGGAAAGTAAAACTCTCATATGCACCTTGTTTTAAAAAAACCGGCTATCCGTCTTCTTGAACTTTCGTGGATATCCATCGACTATCACACGATTGTAAACGAATGCTGCAGGGCAGTTCCACCAACTCCGTAATAAATCCCATCTCCCATCGGATCACAGCAGAGTTACAAGCAAGCAACATACTACTCGAATGCCCCATCAGCAGTACCCGCCGCAGCACCGACAAGCGACCAGAACATAGCACCTTCCCTAACTCAAGCGTCGCCATGTCCTTACTCGAACCGTATCTGTGTCTGGTCGCAGTTTTGAACACTGATGTCATGCTGCTGATGATGATGAAGCAAAAAAAATTTTAAAAAATCGCTCAGCTGTAGCACCCTTTCGGTGCCTAGCTGCCATGCCGCCCGAAGGAAGCACGAGGGCTGGGATACTGCCAGGTTGCCCTTCCGGTCGTAAATCCGCGCTCTAACCACTTGGACCATCCCTCTTGCTCGTGCTGAGGAAACAAGTGACAGTGATGGTAGGCAGATCATCTGCTGCTATCGAAACCCAGAACCCTGGATGCTACGCAACTGCCGTCATGCTATTACGCAGCTGTCGAAAGTAGCCTGACCTAAAGCTATCGCCTTCACGTGGCGGTCGGTCTTCTGTGCCGCAATAATCATGCGGGCTATACTGACTGGAACTCAGTTCCTAAAGGTTCTATCACTGCATAAAGGTAATTGAGGAGCAGCCCGGAGAAGAACGACGACTGTCCGTAGTGCAAGAATTCGTATTACCAGGCGGTCTGAAGATAGAACCATACTGGCCTCTGCGACAAGAATGTGAAGGTAGCAAGGAGTTACTCCCAAGAAGATCGGCATGTCCATATTTATGGACAGCGATGCTCCCTCCCACAGAGGAAGGGCAGGTTACAATAGTTTGGCCTTGAAAACCACACGCTCTGATCTTCTAATGGTTAACCGTGACCGCCCGCTCATTATTCGGTACGGTCGAAGTACTTCTAGAACCATAAAGTCTAGTGCTGCTTAAAAAGCTCCATCTGTTCGCGGTCTCATTAAGAACGAAAAGGTAATGCTTTACCCCATGCGTCCTCGGACCAGGCCGGCCCCCTGCAGCCAAGTGGGTCAACAAAGTAAACCTTAACCGCTGTCTCGCGGTTTAGATTTTTGGGTTATAGGCTGAACATGGAGTATCTCTTTTTCGGCTTGGGCAACCAGGAAGTATCCTCCGCCCTTGCAGCCTTCCGCTCACCGGCCTTCCCTCCACCCATCGAACAATGCAGTGCAATCAACCCTGGCCATTCTTACTTGTTTAAACCATCGCCTAGTCAATTACTAACCTATGTCCATACTCTATGTCCATACTCAACGTCAAATTGTACAACAAATCTCTCGTGCTGAAACTCTGCTTTACCTCCTTCGATGAATTCGTCTCCGACACACTTATACAAGACCCCAATTCGGTCATGCACCTCAAGTCGTTTAGGACAAGCTCAGTTGTTCCACATTTCGCTCTTAAGGTATCTGATGGTTCTTAAGCAATGGTTCGTGATATCTATGGTGTGGAAGTTGCACTCATCCCCAAGGCTGAAATCGTCTTACTGGGTTGGAACCCAGTAAACCACCGTCTTGGAGCTGCGGGGTTACCTGGCCCAAGTAAGATCAATGCAGGTCGATACTCTAAACAGTGTTTATTTGTCGTATCAGCACAATCCCAGACAGCCAGCAGTTCTGAGACTGAGGACGGGTTTTGATCAAGATATGACACAACGGTTTCGGTCGTCAGGATGAATATAGTGATCCTGACGGGTGATATGAATGCCCAAGTTGGACGATTAAGTCACGAAGAAGCATAATTAGGTGGCAGATTTAGAGTCGATGCTCAGCGCACGGATAACGGAGAACCTGCTGCATTTGTGAACCAAACACAAACGCTCATATCGAGTTGACAACGCGGAATGAAAACGCGAAGGCCCCATAGGACTTCAAACAACACTGCTGCACGGACGATATCTCATCGACTGGGGACGAACCTCAAAACCTGGCCTGCAAACCAAACTCACCCGAGCCACTTATGTTCTGCAACGTCGGTATCTTCTAGGTTTCTGTGTTTGAACATTGCCTACAATTGTTGGAAAAATGCTAAGTAATACTGAAGAACCCCAGAGTGTCCTCACAAACGTAGTCACTCTGGTTAAACGAGGTACTCCGTATTCCAGAGAGCCGTTTGTTTCCGGACCACCTTCAACCAACCATATGTAGGTCGGAGACGACTCAGGAATATCAGTCCATTAGGTAGCAACGAAGCATGAGAAGCCTTGCCAGTCAATTCTTTTATATTGGTGCTTGATGCCTTCCCGGATGGGGACCCCGGGATGAAACAGAGGAATGCTTAGAGACCCCGACAAGTGGAGCTGTCACTCAGTCCCGCATCAAAGCTATTACATTCAGTGCGTCGTCGTATCACCTCAATCGGACGGGGAGAACAACTTAAGGTAAATGAGCTGACCGAGTTATCGCCTCCAAAACGTGTCTTGCATTTTCCTATTGTCATTGTCATTGGTGAACGGAACCATGGTGAACCATGGACCATGATTCCTAGCTGATTAAGTGAACTCGCGGATATATCCGTTTTTGGGTCTTAAGGCCATGACAGGCAACAGGAATGTAATGTGTGCTTTGACGTCTGGGCGTTTATTGAGGGGTTTCGCCGTATTTTGTAGTTTAGTTGGCCGCAAAAATGTACCCTTCAGGAACAAAAACTTCAACGATGGCCGCATCGCCTCTTCTTGGGACTGTCTCATACAACTAGGATGGATAACCATTGGCGCACACCAAAATATAGATTCTTCTTCAATACTTTTTCTGCTATGCTGCTTTTACGCTACTTAACTTTGGATTTCCTTTTTTGCTAGGTTTTATTTCTTTATTGTTTTCAGGCTTCGTGTCCAATTCGATGAGCAGTCGACTTCGTTCAACAGCTATGGTTTTGGGTCTTGGACTCGGAATGTTCACCGCTCAGGGTATCTGTTCGGGAAACGAACGATTTTATAGAGAACTTCTGATGCCCGCCTTACACAGGGTGATCCCAGATGGAGAAACAGCGCATTTTATGGCTGTGAAGGCCTTGCGCTATGGATTTGGCCCACATCGACGGGATGTAGCTGTTCCATCCCTCCGCTGCAATGTCTTTGGTCTGGATTTTGATCACCCTGTTGGTGTTGCAGCTGGATTCGACAAAAACGGTGAAGCTATTATTGGCTTGTTGGACGCAGGCTTCTCCCATGTGGAAGTTGGCACAGTCACACCGAAACCCCAGCCTGGAAATCCTCGCCCGCGCGTTTTCCGGTGGCCGGAACGAGAGGCAGTCATTAACAGGTATTGCTATCAGCCTTGTTTCGTCTGTTTACTCTCATTATCGTCTCTTGGCAAAATTTTACTCATTCAGTGTCAAGATGTAGCTGGCATCTTCAGGCACTATCTAGTTTAGTTACTCCTACTGGGGGGAAAAGAACCGCCCCAACCAGGCGGTAACAGCTGTGTGGCAACCGCAGAGGTAATGGGATTGCTTGCACTGCTTATTGTGCCTGGTCTGAGACTTAGGGCCTGATGACCCAAGAGGAGGTATATGGACCAAAATCCATTCTCTTTCCAGTCTTAGTGTGATAGTGCACATGTCACAACACCGATGCTGTTGACCTATTTGTACTCGACGTTCTTGTTCGTCAGAACATGCTCCGAACGTTCTTGAGTCTCGTATTCGTTTTGTATATACACCTTTGCGGGCTCATATGGTGGTAGTGTCGGACATGACCATCCACTCCACTCACTTTTTCTAAACTTCGGATTGATGTTCGGGTCATTTGGTCTGCTATTTTGGAGTTTCTGATGTGTGAGTTGTGGTTGTACATCTCCAAACTGGCATTAAAACTCAGGATTCGAACAGATCGACGGGTCCCAAGTTTCCCCACAAGAAGGGGCATCCTTCATGGTCTTTCCAGTCGATCGACGGTTCCCAAGTTTCCCTACTAGAAGGTGCACCCTTCATGGTCTTTCCAGTCAATTCGACCTGAAATATAGACTCCATTATATTCATTTCGATTTACGTTTGATGTTCGAATCCCTTGTTCAAGGCCGAACAAGTACAAAGTGGTATTTTTCACCTCCTGGGAAACATCCGTCTAGAAGAGACTGGATCTTACCGTGACGTGTCGGTTTGCGCACCTCAGCGAGCCGTTGAGTTGTACTGGGGGACGTCGCAGCGACACTTACAGAGTCTCTCATACCAGGTTGGTCAACGGTTAGAGGTCTGACAAACACTCTCCTGGTCTTCCAGTTTGGAGGTTGGAAAATGTGGCGACTTGTTCCGTACAAATAGTAATGCATTTGCATTTCCCGCCAAGCACCGCTACTTTGCAGTTAGGCATATGCTTTGTTTGAGGATCCTAGTCGTCCTCCTGTTTAGGTGTGGGAGCCCTAACAGTAGCCCAGCCCGCGTACATTCATGATACTTACGTGTATAACAATAAACTCATGCCACATTGTCGCTTGGTGTCATCAGTCGAGTCGCCTTACCCGCTGCATATAGCGGAGCGGGTAAGCGAAAACAGGCTACTGCTGACTCCTCCCTTCTTTCTCTTTCACATACTTCTTCCCCCCACTCCCCACCTAATTAGTAACTCTCTCCTGGTAGAACCGATGACTCAGTTCGTCTTGCATCAGTTTTGTGTGCAAGTGTCCAGCTAAGATTCATGTCGTTGTTATCCTATCTTTTCTCTAAGGTTCGCGAGTGATGTTGAATGAATCCTGCTGGTGACACTCTAATCCGACATGATGTTCGGACATGTTCATTTTTCTGTTCGAGGTTGATCGTCATCCTCAAGGATGTATGTTTTCTCACGATATTTTTCTGCCTTGCCTTATCTTTCCTTTCCTTTCTAGCGTATTTCCCCATTGTTGTATGACAGTTAAGTGCCAGTGTGTAATACTGACATATCGCCGTCACTTTTGATGACGACCCTGGTTAAAACTTTCCTGATTTAGATGCAATATTTTTCAGTATATCCGGACAATGTATGGTTTGCTTGCAAGAACAACTCAGAACTCGTCGCTATCATGTTTGTTTACGGTGTCCAATTTTTCTTCAAAAACTGTTTCCACTTTTTCTACTTTTCGTCTCAGAAGTAACCGTCCCTCATCAAATACCTATGTCGGTCGATCGTTTCAGCTGGAGAGACAACATACAACACATTTTTAGTATTCAACTGTGTTACCGCTACGTAGAGCATATCTGTAGTATCGTACGTTAGCCTGGAGTAACGGGAAAGAAAGATGAAATACATTGCTTGAACCGCTTGCCAAACGCATATTCCCATCACCTCCGCAGAAGATGTTTCCCCATTTCAAGTGGTGGAGATGTCACTAGTTGTCAGGACGGTTTCAACATATGTGTTAGTCGGCTGATTCGTTCGAGATCTTCGGAAGTTCACGTGGTTCTCTTGTGTTCTGAGGAGAAAATCGATGCCGAGGGCGAGTGTATTGGTGTTAGGCGAACTGCGTAGCCGAAGTTTATGGTTTGTGTATTGGTTTACATATTGGATATATCGTGAAGTGTCGCAGAGGCATCGAAAACCCAAGTAAGTGTCCGACTGGTGTTGCGTCCTGACAATTCACTTATTTGTATGTTCCTATACTGCTCACGACTGCCTTACCTGGAACCTCACTACCTGTGCATTTCAGTCTAGCTTCTATTTTACTAGGACACTTTTCCTATTTGGTTGCGTAGCTGAGTACCAGTACGTATTGTGTGCTTCTGACGTTGCTCTCTACCACAGCGATCGCTTCATGAACTTGTAGGTCTGTGAGTATGGCATACAAGAGCGGGTATACACAGACTTATTGCTGCTCTGGAGGTGGGCGGTATCAATGGGAAGGCACCTCCCATCTTCATTCATTGCATCACCAATTATTCATTCACAATCAAACGGGAGTCTGCACTCTACGGAAGTCTAAACACTTCCGATTTTCATCGTGAAATTCCAAGTGTCCTTCCCCTGTAAGACTTTGTCATCGATGTTTGACGTCAGACTGCGTTGCATGTGTGTGACTGATCCGCGTCTGCTACTTGTTTCCTCCACTGTACGTTTATTCAGTACAGCTTTCAGTGGCTTTCTCTTATCGTTTTTCAGGTATGGTTTCAATAGTGAGGGACATGATGCCGTATATGAACGTCTCAAAGACCGGGTTTGGCAAGGTGAGTCAGTCACAACACCACTTGAGATTTTGTATCTGAAGCGAAGTCGGTCTGATTCATACGGCCCAGAAGCTCCGTACAGCTCCTTCATTCTTGTTTAGAACCATTATCAACGAACGCCTCGCGAAAAAGAAATGTACCTTTTATAGGATCATACTTTGTTTATTCACGTTGAATTCCTTGATCGCGTCCTTAAATTTTGATCTTTCTCGTAAGCTGATTTGACAAGCCTTTGAACTAGTTCTTCGTCACATTTGTCATTAGAGCTTAGGGAATACGTTTACATTCACGGACGCAACCAGGGACGTCAGTAGGAATAGAAAATAAATGCTCTTACTAGATGTGTCTTCTTTGATCATCAGCGTCTCACAGAAGTCGTTCACTACCTTTGTGACTACATGAAACAAAACTACATGCGCATGGATAATCCAGCCAACGGTCCGTTGTTCTCAGGTGCAATTCCACTTGGCACATTCCTCATAAACGCATTTAACTCAAATCTACCCGGCTTCACGTTTATTGGTGAGACGTAGACGGCATATTAGCCCTTGTAGACATCCTTGCAGCTACAGGTTGAACGCACTCTACCGCAACAAATACGGCAAGCTGGTTTATGGTTGAAAAAGTGGGATGTTTCATTCCACTTCTTAGATTTACACCGTAATGCATTCCCCATACGGTTACTGAAAACTCTTCGGCGGCCCACGACCTTCTTAAAGAAGACCATTACAAACGAGAACTTCGGCTAGATACAGCTGAGTCTCCCGTCAAACATGGATTCGTATGCAAATACGAGTATTAGGCGGACGAATGGAACCTAATACGATTTCTTTTTGATAAAGCAAGGTAAATATCTCTTCACTCAAAGCAATGTTTACAACTACTCAGCTTATACCGCTTTATTTTAAAGAGGAATTGCCAACCCATTTGAAAGCAATGCACTCCGCGCCTTCACCCATCTTTGTACAACAGAATACCTCAAACATAAGATATGGCAATTGCACAAGAGAATAAAAGGGCCTATCTCGTTTTGGCTGAGAAACGGATCAAGAAATTTGATTAGAAGCCCGCTTGCCCGATCTATTCAAGACGACATTTGGAATGCTTTCCCATGTACCTACCTATCTGATCTAATCTATTGTAATCTGCATTTAATGTGGCCCATCTGGGATAAGTAGTCATATTGAAACAACACTCAGGTTAGAGCTTGCCGTTCAGCGCGATAAGTGTAAAGACAATAAGTGGTTTGCTGCAGATGACTGGCATTCTCACATTTATGGAAACGACGGTGCCGCGCTGTTCCGAAAAGGAATGAATTCGAAAAGCGTGTCCCTAAAAACCGCATAAGCAGGTGGCCCAACGCCTCTCCGTTATTATTGACTTTTGTGTTTCTTTGAAGCAGACAGATGAGCTATCCATGTCGGGAATGGCAGCATGAGTAGCATTTACCAGTATGTATGTAAAAAACACCGTTGCCTTCGTTAACACTCACGACGGATTTGGACGACCAGTTGGGCAGTATAACGGCAGTTGTGTCGCAATTCGTTGGTCTAGCAACCTGCTGGTGTCTTCCGTAGTGTATCCCACTTATCCCCTTCGTTGGCTATCCACGGAAATTTCAGGTCGAGGCGTTGTCGGAGTGAATTTGGGTTGTAACAAGCAATCACCAGACCCTGTCGCTGATTTTGTCGCTGGAGTGAAAAGGTTTGGAGAAGTTGCTGATTACTTGGTCATCAATGTATCCAGTCCAAACACACCGGGACTCCGCTCCATGCAAAATAAACAAAAATTGAAGGAATTGCTTGGTCAGGTGGGTGTTCTACACATTTGTGTGTCTTCAGTCGGCATTCGAAAGTTTAGAAGGCAGTTTCACTGCTACTTGAGATCAACTTCCCAGTATGGGTTACTAACCTGATCTATGTGATAAGCATTTAAACGGCAAAGTCCTAGATTAGTTGAAGCCAATCAGGTCACAAGAATAGCAAATGGAATATATCACCTCAACCAGGTACACAAAAGCACGGCTATTCTATGCCCCTCCCCATTGGAGGACTATCTATCAGCCATTGATAGACGTTTGCGTTTCGGTATAAACTACAGCCTATACTTTGTGGATCTCACTACGTCAGCCAAGCGCCTGGTGTATTGCTTTTTAGGGGATTGTGCGCCTGTAACTGGGTTATACCCCCACAACGTACCGTATCTGTACAGTGTTGTATGTCAGCCCTCACGGATCCGTATTCACAACTTTCTGTGACGGCATCAGTAGGGTTGGCCTTGGAGTAAATACGTTCTTCCAGTAATGTAGGACGATAGAGGCCCAAAGCTTTTGGCCTTCCAAATAAATTCAGAATTTCTCCATCTTTATGGTCTCTTACTAGCATGCGGTTTGATCATTTTGACGTGATATCTCGGGCTATCTGTTCGTTCCATCCTTACTAGGTTCTCACTGCTCGGTCAAAGCTCACCAAACGGACTCCAATTCTCTTAAAAATCTCACCCGATGAGAGTGACGAATCGCTCAAGGATATCGTAGAAACGGCCATGAATCCAATGGTTTGTCTTTCAAGTTTTACTTTCGCTTCACTTGTGTAGTGCATGGTGAAATTGTCAGCAACCTTTTCTAACCAATTGTTCTATCACCGTTTCACGGGCAGTTTTGTTTACTTGACCTTGGATTACATCAGCCTTCCACTCTGTAGCTCTCTAGACGATACAATAATCCATGCTGGGGACATCTTCCTCCAGTGATGCTAATACAGAAGGAACTTGATAGGACACCTGAAACCAATTATTGAAACTTTTATAATATTGCCTACGTAATGTGGTTTAATCACCGCGCCTTCACGATTAGAGCACCTCAGAGTACCCGCTTCCTTACATTTTCCATATTTTCCAGACCAAAGTAGATGGCTTGATTGTTTCCAATACAAGTTTGGCCTCTTATGACGAAGCACTCGCCTGCCACGCTGCTCCCCCACCGGATGAACTAGACACACCTTCAGATGGGATAGTTTGGGGCGGTCTAAGTGGTCGTCCCCTATTCGACCGGTCAACTGTCTGTCTCACCAAAGTGGCTGCGTTAACAAAAGGTCAACTCCCTTTGGTCGGCGTCGGTGGTATATTTGATGGAGAAGATGCTGCGAAGAAGTTGTCAGCTGGAGCATCGCTGGTGCAACTGTACACGGGTCTGATCTATCAAGGACCGCCGGTCGTCCGTCGCGTGACTCGAGAGCTGGAGGAACTTGTAACAAATGGGGATAAACGACAACAATCCGGATGACATTTCCTTATCCACGTATTCTCTTTGACTTTTGTTACAATTGAATATTTTCAAGCATCATTTGGCTTTTGCAAACTGGCAAGCTCCATGTCATCCGCCAATGGGGCTGGTTTGAGTCCATCTACGGAAAGTCTGCGAAACTGTCAATGCTTCACCTAGTGGAGAGTAAACCAACTGTGCTGTGGCTTTAACTGCATCCAAAGATTAGTCGTGCGGCGGGTTTTTTAACCTCTACTTTGAAGGGGAAAATGATTCAGGACGTACGCATTATGGTTGAATAGACAGATTACTGATGGTTGATTGGATGGTCGTTGATCTGTTCACCAAGCTTGGCAATTGGCTTGCATACGTTTCGTCCCCAGTCGAGGAGACGTTTTGAGTGCGCACTCAACAAGACTTGTGATGAATACGCTTCTCTGGGGATAAAAGTTGAGACATACTGTTTGTTCCTCCATATAAACCTATACCGCCTTTCCTTCGAACCTACTGATACGTCCTATCTCTTCCCCTAACCCCAGTGTGTTCTGTACTTTATTTGTGACTTCGTGGAAATTTCATTAATCTTGGTATCTGTTCAGTGCAGTGTAGCTTGAACACACGCGACGTTGTCAAATAGACAAAGATAAACCTACCGTCTTGGGGCCACATATTTATCTTGTACTCTGTATTCTGTTGTTGACGTTGGCCGCGTCGTAATCCGATAGATCAAAGATGTTCCGCTTCATCAATCTGCTGGATTTTGGAAAGCCAAACTTCAAAATATCGGTTTCGAAAGCTTTGAATATGAATGTTAAAGAACCAAATAACTCCCTTCGCCGCAACGAAAGCTACATGATCAACCGAATAATATTGGTTGCAGACATGTTTTCAACTCAGGCCTGGAGTGATTTCAGCCTTTGGTCTTGCTCCCTCTCTCTGTCGCGACCGTCTATTTCATGGCGCTTGTCTACGTTTCAGGCAACCTAGTTTTTCGAATTTCAATGCCCTTTTGTATCCGATTGTTTTGATGCGATTGTTACTAATAGTAGAATCGACCACCCGCTCAACAGTCTCGGTTTTGTATCCCAGCCAATATCGTGCTCCTGTCCACGAACAGGTCATTATTAGTTGGTACACCAGAGTGGATGCATCTCATCCAAATTCCACTGAAAGGTCTAAAACAGCTTGAGGGAGACAGCGAAGCTCAGAAATGAGTTAATGTATGCCTTTAGTAAACTTATAGGGAGAACGAATCCTCAGAACTGTACGTTTGTATGCTACCTCGCTGATAAGATGTGGACAACCTAGACTTCCTCTATGTAAGTGTAAGAGCGATTCAGCAAACCTCGATGATTCGATCCTATGCCACACAAGTGAGTTGGTGAGAATTGGAAGTCAACTAGGCTCAATACGGATTAGCTGTGCCGATGTAGTCATTCTCAATTGAACTGATGGGTATATTCGACTGAAGCTAGATGTTAGTTTTTGTGGGTAGATAAACCTTTTTCAGTGGTAACCGTAGGTAAACATACCCCCTTTTGCTGTATATTTCACTGAAACTTTCTGGTGGTCTGTTTCAAGATTCACCATTCTTCAAACATCGGGTTTGCGTGTTTTCCCTCGGTAGAGCACAGTACACCCACGTATGTTGGACAACGCACTTTTGTGGGTTTATTTGAACAAACAGTTGGCAGCATTACAAATGTTCGGATGCACTTCAATGGTATATCAGAATGATGTTATTTGAATGCCTGTTTCACCGCCCACTTTTGTTCGCTTCAAGGTATGGCTTTCAAATAAATCATGGTTGTATGGCAGCTAAGCACCAGTGTTGAACACTGATGTCACGCTGTCGAAGATGGTGATGGTGACTGGGTCCTGAGTGCAAAGCTGTCCGTCAAGGAAATAACGGACAGTCCCTCTGGGGATCAGACGTGTTGATGAACCTCAAGACGCAGCCGCGATACGATGAAGCATACTCATTCTCGAGTTTGCCGTTCACATAGAACGTAAAGGTGATAGAAGCAGGGGACCAGGTCTACTTGATGAGCCGCAAGAGGGGTGAAATCGGTGGTCGGCTACCGAAGAGTTTTCAGCGACCTAATGGGTAGTGTGATGCGTCAAGCAAGTACTGCAGAGTTCTGCAGATCTCTGCAGTACATCGACTGTCGGTTTACTATTGTCGTTGTAGATGGAAGGTAAAAATGGAGGAAAACATTGGCGATCCTGAAAAACTGCGGCCGAGAAATCCCGCATCATGTAGTGTACCGTCCGTTGTGATTTTCGGATAGACTACCGGTGATTTGGTGTTTAACAGAAAACGTGTTAGATTTTTTTGAAGGAATACAGGCAAAGTTGATGAAAACTTTTCGACAGCCCATGACCGATTTGGTTCATCATCTGGGATCAGCCCCCGGGTTAGATTTCCATACTAAGTTTTCATGAATTTGATCAGTGTGGTGGGACTATGGTTGAGTGTAATGCGACACGTCACACTGAGCTACGGTAGCATGTTAGCAATTCTATTTGGAGGCCGTCAGCTGTATTGTGGCCCAGTATGGTATTCCGGTTCGGTGGTTGTGTTCACGCAACCTGTCGACCGAACTGCACAACATGTAGCCCTCGAATCAACCGTTCAAGTTTGATCCATCGTGTTCGTAATCGCACAAAAGCTGTGGGTAGTGGCTGTCGGAATCTGGCGAGGAGGTACCTCCCACGTCTTGTTTGGGAGCCGATTACACGAGGGACAGCAGGGTGTATTTGGGATTACGAAGTGATCAGGAATCCCACTATTAGCAAAAGATCTTACTACTTGACTCATTTTTAGGCTAATCGGTCGATATGACTTTTCTACAAACATCAGTACGTCACCCTAGGCAGAACGAAAGTCGTTGCACTCCTGCATTTCATAGCTCATCAACCGGGAAGTGGGAGACTGCGTGCCAGCCATCTAGCCAGCACTGCTAGTTATACCAACCCATCAGGATGCCGGTGTCTATGATGCTGGGAATGCATGTCCGAGATGGTAGTGTAGCGGTCCTGGATGTATTTTCCATGACACCAAAAGCATTTTGTGAAGACTCCTAACTAATTACATTAGTCTATAAATAAGGCGGATGTGCACCTATGTGATCACTGACCATTGATGCTGGTTTGTTTGAATGAACTTTTCCAACCTTGACACGTCCCGCTTGGTTACCTTTCCCTGGACTTCCTAGTCTGCTATCCCCTTTAGCCAGTGCTGGTTCTGTATCCACATGACACACTTATCTGCTCTTTTGTTTGATTTATGATTATCAGATCCTGGTTACTGCCATAGCTAGTGTCGCCGTCAACTTGAGGGTACGTTGTTAGCACGCCATACATAGCACCATTTGGTCTCAGGTCAATGAACAAAGAACAATCAACGTGACTGATTGACGAGAAACATGCAGAGGTTATCCGAATGAGCTCGAGATAGTTCAGTGGTTAAGGCACGAAAATACTGACCGGAAAGTTTGTGGTTCGAACTCCATCTTGACAATTCGACTGATCCTGTCTAGTGTTGTGCACTTTGGCAGTATTTCAGCCCTCATGCTTCCTTCGGGAGGTATGGTGGATATAAACTGAATGATATTGTTTTCACCCGAATTAACAGCTGGTGAAGGCACAGGGGCTGCTCACAAACCGTTTTTCTTGGCTTCGGACGTTTGGTTTCGATGTTGAACAGGCGGATATGGTCTAGATCCACATAATCCGCGACCGAGTCTGTTGAAAAATGTTTGTAAACCTTCTTACTTTTTGTCTGGGTACGGGAGGCGGCTGCCGACATGTTTTCGCACTTGCTTTGCTAGCATAAGGCCGATGAAACCGCGTTGTATCACAAAATTATCTAGGTGGCTACTACAGAAGTTGAGTAAACAGCTGAGGACTGCATCACCCCGTGTTGTGCAGGCAGTATTTCAGCCCTCATGCTTCCTTCGGGAGGTATGGTGGATATAAACTGAATGATATTGTTTTCACCCGAATTAACAGCTGGTGAAGGCACAGGGGCTGCTCACAAACCGTTTTTCTTGGCTTCGGACGTTTGGTTTCGATGTTGAACAGGCGGATATGGTCTAGATCCACATAATCCGCGACCGAGTCTGTTGAAAAATGTTTGTAAACCTTCTTACTTTTTGTCTGGGTACGGGAGGCGGCTGCCGACATGTTTTCGCACTTGCTTTGCTAGCATAAGGCCGATGAAACCGCGTTGTATCACAAAATTATCTAGGTGGCTACTACAGAAGTTGAGTAAACAGCTGAGGACTGCATCACCCCGCTTCTTTGTGGAACCATGAATGACGATAAGCTTTTGTCACTGGCTAAAACGAGATATCAATCCCATTTTTTTACACAACCATTCGCAAAGGGCTGGGTAAGTTACGCAGTTCTTGAACATTAGTCTACTGAAGCCAACAGGTAATTGACGGGTCTTTTAGAACAATGCCTCTTCTCATCGCATACCTACAGAACACTGAAGTATGCTCACCAACAGACAGCTTTTGGATATGAGTACTGGACAGTCACTTTTATCGATGAAATACAAAGCATACATATTTTTAGACTGACCGAACATAAACAAAGCGCCGAACGAAGCATAGCCGACAAGTACTTCAAGGCCGCTACTATTCACGAGAGTATCAGCACGAAGTTAGCTTCCATATCTTTCCACTCAAGTTTCGTTTAGGCTGATTTGGATTCCCGTTCTCTGATGAAAACTCACTCGAATTCAAGTGACTTCATCTCACATTAAACTCCTCGACAAATATGAATACTCGGTAACAAAGTACTGGTCAAGGTGAAGCGTGCGTTTCCAAAGTGACGCAACTTGAAACCTCACTGGTTATATTATTTTCTTCAGTGTCTTAACCGCCTTGGGCGGTACAAATAATAGCAGCAACTCTCTAGTGGACTGGTATCCTAATGACATCAATAAATGATTCATCGGAAGCATTCCAAGAATGATTGAACTTACAAAAATGCACCAACCCAACTTTCAAGGAAACATCTTTGAGTTTGTAGAAGGTCTTAACAATGGATAGAATACCGGAGACAAACGCTATCAAACAGCTAAAAAACGTGCGTAAATAATTTGGGGTCACTACACATGTTCCCTTGACAACACAATCCGATTTTGACAAGGCTTAAGTCTATAACTACTTGTTCCAGTGCGCTGTGTTTGGATTTTAGATTTTCCATACTTTTGGGCCAAGTAACACAAGGTTCCTGTGGGTGGCGCAGAGCATAAAATTCCGAGTGATAATTTTACAGACTCTATTTATATAAGAATCTTACTGCGTTGTTCGGGGAATATGAATACGTACGTGGACCTCGTAATTTTCACGGGATCGTGGACCGTGGTTTTCAAGGTCCCCTCTGGGCACCTTGTGAGCCTTGGTTTAAGAATGTTGCATTGTTGTCCAACCGCCCCGAGTGGAACTCAGAATGATCGGATCGAGTAGCATTAATTCAATCAGGATATAAACAAATGTTCTAAATTGGGAGACGTCATTACTGTGCCAGATACGAGAAACGACTCCGAACCAGTGTTTTCCGTAATAGCGTCTCATTCAGAACGTGAATGGCTGCATATATCAAGGCTTCTTTTATGGTTAAATCAGTCAGCTTTGACTGGATCCAACCAATCCTTTGATGGCCAGTCGATCGGAGTTCCTTTGACTGCCCATGTTAGTACTTGGTTTGTCTTTGTAACTGAAGCCTATTGGTCCGTCTTGACCATACCTTGAACTCCAAAGTTTTTGATCAGCTTGGATAATTTACTCAATATACGAATAAACGTGTTCGTTCAAGACTGTGGAGAAGTTGCAGTGTCTTGGCGGACGAACGGTGCGACCTACCATCCCTGGCATTTTACCCTGAGGTCTGTCAAACTCAACACAGATCAGTTATGAGTCTCGTCGTTAGATACTGTCAATTACGGAAACAACCTGGCTGAATGCAACGATTCCAGAATATCAACTTACTTTCACTCCTGTCCAGTACGCAGTTTTTCCAACGTTATTCACTGCTTTATTCCGATACCGTTGTTAGCGAGTGGTAGTGCGGCACAAACATGGGCGCCGTCGGATGCCGAATAAAAGACCATATGTCATTCCAGCAATACCACTTGGTGTGCTTATCGTTACTCCTGTTTCCGTGGGGCGGTTACGTGAGTTCCATTTTCAATGTAACGTTTTCGGGGAGTCACACCGTTAACCAATCCCATATCGAAGTCTTGCACTGCAGCCAAACCTGATACAGACAACTAGGCCCTCATAGTAAGGAGAAAACCGGGCATTACTAACTCACGTCGTCAGAGGAAAAGGGAAACTCACAGATCACTCCAAATCAACCAGTAGTTCCTAGTACCTTTCTCAACCTTTCTTTTGGTCTGCGTGCATTATGAATCTTTGATCGATTACCTTATGTTTAGTGCTTGATAATCAACCTGGATACCAAGTGTTTCTTTTTCTGAATATCTCAGTAGCAATTTAGTAACAAGCTTTGCATTCGCGATCAATACTCATGTCTTCCATTACTTTACCCTTCACACCGAAAAACTTTTCGGAGTATCTTCTTGTTTCACACTATTCTACAATCTCCCATGATGCGCTCGTTCAGAATTAGCACAACGTTGGAGCTAGTTGAGATTTATGCACCCTCTAGTTTCACCGAAAGCGTATTTTCCCACGGCGTAATCTCATAATAATTTGGTAAACAAAATGTTCCTCTCGTAAGAACCGCTTCACTAATTAAGATCGAGAAAATCTCTTGCCCCTTAAACATTGGCTGCGTAGGAGCTAGGTAATTGACCATCAATCGCAGAACTCAGTAGAATGTAATGAGTTTTGTTTGGCCCGAAGAACACCTTTAGCTAAGTGTGTCAGACTTAATCCGTCCATGAAAGCTCAAGATTCGTCCGTAAGCCGTCAGTTTGTCAACTGTCAACTGTTTGTAAACTGGAGGTTGATGGTCTACGCTCGCCACCAGTCGAATTTTCGCTCACGTTATATGTAGCTGAGCTTCTCATTTCAGCATTTTACCCCACCTAAGGTTGGGACTTTTGGTCAATCCGCAGTGTGTGCACATGAATGTGTACATTCAAAGCATAGAACATGGCATTGGGCCTAGCTGGGTAAACGAAGTTTCACACTTTAGTGAAGGCGCAACGCCTTCGTCTCACTAGATCCCCCTGCAGTTGAACCTGATCCAACCCACAAAACAGTTGGCTGAAGTCTGGATTTAGAATCTCATCGTGAACGGGGAATTTGCGAAATACACCACTTTGTAGACCAATCCGGTTTTAATCGAAAGCGCAGCCGGATCTTAGCTAAGACTCTCGTTTATGGTATTCCTTAATTGAATGTGCCGTACAAAGGCCGTCCAATCATCATCATCATCATCAACGACAGCATACACCACTAGACCAATCCGGTTTTAATCGAAAGCGCAGCCGGATCTTAGCTAAGACTCTCGTTTATGGTATTCCTTAATTGAATGTGCGTGCCAAAGGCCGTCCAATCATCATCATCATCATCAACGACAGCATGACATCAGTGCTCAACACCAATGCTTCACTGCCCTACACCCATGACTCATTTGAAAGCCTTATTGTAAAGAAAAGAATAAAGGTGGATGGGGGATGGACTTAGTGCTAGCTTAACACAATCATTCCGAGGTGCCTACGCCTCCAGACATTCACTCAGACAATCTGGACAGAAACTGACAACAAGAACATCACTGACATCGGTTGGCAGCCATACACTGTGGTGTCTCCAACCAGGCACAGTGAGGATCACGCGGTCCCCATCCTGGAAGGCGAGTAGCACCGACAGCACCCAAGCGTTTCGTGATCTCCTTCATACTCCTCTGCCAGGTCATGGGTTGGCCACCTCTCTGTTAACGTCGCTCCGAAATGGTCACGGAAAACAGTACTCTCTTCGGCAAACGATGGTTCGGCATACGTAACACATGTCCCAACCAACGCAGCTTCTGGTGCTGGACACATTCTTCAATGGAAGTACCCGTTACACAACCGAAAACACGCTTTCTAACTGCCTCGTTACGGATTCGCTGACACCAACCCAAACGAGTTATGGTTCTGAGACAACGATTGTCGAACACATGAAGACGTCTCAGGTCCGCTGCTCGAATAGGCCAAGTCTCACAGCCATACAACAAAACAGCCCGTACTGTAGCTTGATACACACGTCCCTTCAGATTCAGAGATAAACCATTCTGACGCCATAGGTGTCGCAAGTTAGCAAACGCGGCCCGAGCCTCGCAGATTCGTGCATTCACCTCATCTGTCACACTGCAATCAGAACTAATACAACTTCCAAGGTACGTAAAACGCTCCACAACTTCCAGTACCTCTCCCTGGATTGTAAGGGGCGTGGCGGAAGCCTGGAAGAAGACAGAATATGAACCCACAGAATAAAAAGGAACAATCACACAAAAATATGTCATCGATGAGATCTGTCTTTTAGGATGAGACCTATGTGATTCACCATTTACCAGGTGTTCACATTGACAATTACTACCCAGATCGTCTGGGTGCGCTACCTAACACGCGATTTCTCTAGTTCACCCATCCTTCCTTTAATATTGGACTCTGAAAAATTTAACACGACTGTTTGGTCGTGCATTACCAGTGCTCCAGTCTGGTGAAACTGTAAACATGTACAGCTTTGCTGAGTTATGTCATATACCTTAATAGATGTTTGAAGCCATTTCAGAGAAAAAGAGGTTGTTTCGTAAATAAATGCGAATGAAAACCACAATGAATTACGAACATGCACCCAGCAAGCTCACCCGAGCAGAAGACAACTGACATCTCTTCGAATGCATAGCACGGAGCGAGATAACGGAAGCTCCTTCATTGAATGAATTTACTTTAATGCATGAATGTCTTCACAAGGGAGACGAGAGACTGACAAGGCTACGGCCTTCAGTGCCCGGTTATCATTCCACTGTCGTGCTCAGCCTTGGCAGGGGGCGAGATGGCTTAGTGGTAAGATCGCCAATTTACTGACCGGAAGGTCCGTGGTTCGAACCCGACCTGTCACTCGACTTTCGCTGTCTAGGCTTGGGCAACCTGGCAGTATCCCAGCCCTCGTGCTTCCTTCAGGTAGCATGGCAGCTAGGCATCGAAAGGGTGCTACAGCTGAACGATATTTTATCAGAACCGGCAACCAGAATGCCTGCCTCATGAACTGCTGTTAGCGGATCGAATGTCATCCGCCGTTCAAAGTGATCTTTAGAGAATTCAGACACTGAGAACCGACTACGAACCATTGTTGAGCGACGGAAACAAACTAATCATCTAAAGTGTAAGCGAAAAAACAAGCGTTCTTCGAACTACCCATGCGCCCCCATTCGAAATGTCAGATGAACAACAGCTAGTAGAGGGCTTCCACCGACAGTTCGAGTTAGAGTATTCCAAAAGCAAAAAAGTGTTAAAAGAAAGATGAAGCCTTTCCGGTGATCTAGAGAGTCTGACTCTCAATCCTTTGTGAACCGTGAAATGAAATCTTGCGAACCACCTGCGAAGAGAACGGCAGCCAATCCTCCATCCAGTCTCTTGGAGTCACTCAAAAAGGTGACACGTCCAAGATAGACAACTATCGTCAGGCAGTGGAAACGTGCCACTACACTCGTCAAACGGGCAACCAAAAAGTACGAGAAATCAAACCAATCAATGTGACTCTCCATCAGGTACAGAGCGCGTGGGTCGACATTCACTATAATTGAGAGATTGGAACATTGCTTCAAGTTCGAACAACCCGTTTGCTTCAATGATTTCCAGATCTCAAAGAATTGTGGATGGTCGCGTCGGCTGATGATGAACCAAGCAAGGAAGTGAACCCCATGATGATTTGATGCGTCTGCGCGTTAGGCTGTACGGTGAATGTGCCTCCGGTATTGAGGTACAACCGCGTCATTCTCGGTCAGTCAGTTCGTTCATTTGCCCAGATAAATGAATGCTGTACCGCATTTTGGATAACTCGTACCTTATCGAAGATAGTATCGAGCGTAATGACACTCGGTGGATGAGTAAAACGAGCGAACTTGTTTGTTTACGGTCGCATTTAGACTATCTTCTGTCGGATAAATTGCTAAACACCCAGCGACAAGCGAAGTCAGAGTCAGAATCAACAATCCATGCGGCCTCTCTGCAACTCGATGCTAAGCTCTCGCAGGGTCTTCAAATGAGTCTTCTGACTGACAAACCGAAACGATACGTACCCGTAATTCTGAGTCTGTGATAAGGAGACACTGTACTGAGGCTGGCATATTAGGCTCATCCTTCAGATAGTGATACGACAATGTGAAAAACAACAAAGTAAGCCAACAGACCCACTGCATCATATTTACTGCTGAAATATATCAACTACAACGGTTCGGCGGTATCCTGTTCAAGCCTCGATCCAAACCAAGACGAGCCATCAATGATAACTTACAGGCTAGCGAAGACTCTGAACAGTTTAAACTCCGGTCTAATACGGCCAAAAGTGTCACGTAATGCCTAAGCCGTCACCCGTTTGAATTCGACATGAATGGTCAATAATTATGCTAGCCCAACTGGCAATCGTCAGGCGCGGGTAGATACGATGCGAAATATCTTGAAAGCCAGATTATCCCCGAACAGCAGCCAAGCGTCATTGTTGTCAACCCCCCCCCCACTTGACCGCCCACTGACAGTGCTGGACTTATGCACCAACTTACCAGCTCGCACCTGCAATGCGCAGCTACCTCCCCCCTCCCACAAATCATCGGTGAACGAAACTGCGGCAGCTGCAACCACTGTACGACGAGTACGCGGTTATTACAGCTGACAATGATGATGATGATGTCAATGGTTTACTGGATGAAACAGTCAGTGAGAGACTTTTTCATGGGTTGAAGTTTTCTGAACTGTGGACAATCAAAAACTGAGCTTTAATCATCAACTTTACTCTGCAGAAACCGAAAAGAGGAAGCATAAGACGGACTATTCTACCAATCTCAAGCATTGTACACGAAGCACGGTTATTAGCCACCCGCCGTTTCCTGTCAGAAAGCCGTAGCACGAAATAATGAGGCAAGACGAACTGCGGTCATGCAATGAAAATAGGGCAGCAAAGCGTCAGTATTGAACTGTGCTATCTACGATGCTGAATAAAGAAGCAACGATTATGGTTCGATGGTGAATACGATATTTGGGTTCCTTACGATCCTATGAATTAACCGATAGTACACCAATACTCAGAAATTGATAGCCCGAACGCTCGGAGACGGAAAGTCCGTGCGCGCAAGAAGTGAGTATTAGCGAATAGGGATAGGCTAACCACACACAATAAAAAACAACCTACCGATGGGTCATTTCGGTTTGATTCCATTGTGGCCTTGAAATGCTTCAGTGCTTTCTTTAAGTTGAAAATGTCTGGAGAACAAAGTCAACAGTAAGGAATGATGTGACTCACCAGCGCGAGCCCTTCGTTCCATGTCTTTGATTATCTTCAAACGCAACTCAAAAGCATCTTTGCCCCCATGTTTCTTGTATGCACTGCAAGAAATTTCATCCGAGAAAATGCGTATACTTACAGCTGCTCAACGTCAGAACGCAGAAAGACTTGTGTTTGGGTTTCACCTGAGTAGGGACTGCGGCTGTAATAACGAGGCAACGCCTCTAAGTCCCTGGGGACGGATAGTCAGTCGGTATGACCCAAAACATACTGTGTGGTTAAAATGTACTCCCGTATTGCACGCAGAGGGGTAATGAACTTGACAGATTTCACGGAATCGTCATAGGTAAAGCTTGACTTGATTTTTGCGACCACTGAAAGGACAGTCTAGAAAGTAAAGAAATGTGGAGACCTTTGGGATCAACTCGCGTTGCGACCGTGGCGGGGGACGGTGCTGAAGGTTGTTTTGCATCGCTCGAAAAAAGAACGGATAAAATAGCTAAACAAGAACCGAAATCGTGCGTTCGGGGTGAGAAAAGCTTACTTTTTGGTGCTATCCGATGGTATCTATTGAAGGACCTGTGAACCACACGCATCCGAAGCAAACTTAGCATCCGTAGACGCCAGAAATCAATCACGCTTGGCGATGAGAACAACCGGATGGTCAAGGAACACTGACGTCAAAGGTCAGGCCACTGCCGAGTGGGTAGACCCACCTAGAATGATTTCGAGAACAAGGTGCGGTAGCTGAAATAGATAAAATAAAATGACGGATCCCTTCAGTAACCGGGATAGTGCCATAAAAAGTGAACCATGGTACAATTTAGGAACACTCAACAACTTCATCATGTGTTGGCCACGCTTGTACGATCATGTCTTGATTTTTCACTGCAAACATAAAGATCATAGACCGTTCCGTAGAAGTAACAAAAGAAACAAGATGCATTAAGATATCAACGCCACATTGTATGGGAAAATGCACAGATTGAATATATGTAGACAGTAAGGGTGTCAAAACTCACAAAGACTAGTGACACTGTAGAAGAGCGGACAAATGAACAACTCGATTCTGCTAGATAATCAGAACTTGATAGAAATGGCCAAAGTTGAATGGAACAGGAGTTAGGAATGTTAAAATTTCGCCCTGAGGAAAATTTTCCGCAAAATTTGTCACGAGAAAGTGGCGGACATCATGTCACAACCACAAGATTCTCCGAGTAATTGGGGAGAATGAATACAGCAACAAAGTGAAAAGTCCACTTTGAATAGAATTGAGAAGGATGGGGAGGAAAAATAAGTTGGTCCAAAAATCACAGCAGCTTTCCAGAACAGGACATGTATGAAACATAGGGGGAGGCTGTCGAGAAAGCGCTTCGTCTCATACTTCCAACTGCGTTTCTTAGTAGAATCGCTACAATTAAGATGGACAGCACGTGGGTTCCCGCATGCGAGTTCGAAGTTCTGACACGCGGAACACGGATGAAGTGTCGAGATGGTTCAGACTTAGTTTCTCACGAGCGACTAAATCAAAATCTGTTAAGGTGGCCGAAAAGCGGAGTGAATACACGTTGGTTTTCACAGAAGCGGTAGGTGGATAAACAGCAAACATCATAGAAGCGACGTACTCTTGCAGCAGTCAGTTCTTTGAGTGAGAGTAAGAAATGTACGTACCGAAAGACAGATCAACTTTCGCTGATAGCATTACTAAGGTCAAAAAGAGATCGATCGAACACACGCTCCGGCTGCACATTTAATCGTAACTCCTGCGCAATCACCGTGGACTACGAGAAGGATGTTTGTGACTCGCGAGGCCAACCAAGTGTTTGGGACATAAGCCAGAGGTTAGTGTTGTGAGCCTACCAGGTCCCTATCCGCAATAATACTTCACCTATGTCTTCCTTGATATACGAAGTGCCTTGACCAGATCGTATCCAGTTACTTTTACACGAAGAGAAATCGTTCCAGAACTATCCTCAATCACCGGGAGGTTCTCCGCCAAATCCTTACTGATTGATGTTGACCGTCTTGAAACATTTCAAAACCAGTATCTATTCTCAACCGTGGACCTCCTTCTGACCAATTCACTGTTTCGTTTCAATCACTCATTTATCAGGATTTTCGAAGTCAAACGGTTCAAGTGTGGTGTTGGGATCAAACGCCTCCTGAGCGACTACTTACGTCATCACCATTGACAACAACCCCAGGTGCTCCACTGCCGTACAACGATGTCAATTTATTTGACTAATACCTTATAATGGAAAAAAGTGAACTAGGGCTAGCCTACAACGAGCACCCGAGGTGCCTACAACTATACTAAGTCAGGCGATCTGGATAGTGACTGACAACATGGACGCCACTGACATCAGTTAGTCGTCATATCGTTCAGTGTCTCCAATAATGCATGGAAAGAGATCATCTGGAAGGCGAACCAACTTTCTGTAATACCATTCCTCCCCGTGTTCCATGTCCACCTCTAGATTTCCGCAACCTGAATTAGGCACGGAAAACAACGGTCGTGTAGATAGCCGCTAACCCGCCTTGCTTATAACACATGGGCTAGCCACTTTAGCTTGCAATGCTGGATTCATCCTCTGAGTGGAGCGCCGCCTGCCCTGCCAAAGACGAGGTCCATGATCAACCCATCCGAATCAGTTTATCCCAGTAGATTCCCGTCATACTTCTGAGACATCGGTGGTCAAAGGCCTAAAGATGCCTCAGATCTTTAGCCCAAAGTGGCCAGGTCCCGCAGCCGTAAAACAGCCAGTCTGATACACACACAAATACACGCCACAAATGGTGCAAATCAGCGAACACAAATCTGTCCGTCGAGATTCGTGCATTCACTTCGTCAGGGTGAATGCAACCTTTGTGATATGCTTAGTGGTTTACAACCTCCAGTGTTACTCGTTGAATTCTTGGAGGTGTGTTCAAAGTACGGCCTTGCACTTTGTGGGCGCGAAGCAAATGTCGAAAGACTGGATGACCTTCGTCAGTTTTTCTAGTAGTGCTTGAGCGTTCTAGTCTTCAAAAATGATAACTTCATCATCATCGACAGCATGACATCAGTGTTCAACACCGATGTTTCACTGCCGTTCAAAAATAAGAACAATACTATCTGCATATTCCAGGTCGACAAGGCTCTCGCTCGAAACATAAGAACATGATGGAAAGCTCAGCTCAACGGCCGTACTCCATCTGTGAATATTTTCACTCATGTGTGTCAAGTTACAGAGGGATGTTTTAATGCCGACCTAGGTGGATCCTTTAACAGCTCATCCTCAATGACAGAAACCATTGTACATAGGTGTGAACTTATGGAAGACTGACTCAGACGAATAACTACCTACACGGAGAACGATTCTTGTTGAGGGTGGTACACCAAAACTCATGTGGTGAGTGTCATCCACTGAGATGCATCAAGAGAAGTGAGGATAGCCCTGGATATCGTTGCCTGGCCAGAAGAAAAACTTCTACCTTCAACAAAACTCACCTTCCACATGAGATGTGCTGATCGATATTCTGTCGTGAAATGCGGATATATAGAGGTCCAAGAAAAACAGGTGGATTAGTTACGACTGGTGCAAACAGGTGTGTTGGTGTAGCTCGGAGCTGTTATACTGCTGCATCTTGTGAAACTAGGGGTAGTTGGGGTAATCTCTAAGTGTGCGGTGGTATTGGAATTCTGTGGATCTTCTTTGTCAGTGACAGATGGTTCAACTGATGGAAAATTGGAATGCCAGGCAGCTAAACGCAAATTCCGAGTAACACTGGCCGGTTGGGAGGCACTGCTCAAGATGCGACCGATGGCTTCCACATCCTGTGCGGCAGGTGGCATTGTGAGAGGCTAGGAAAGGAATGAAAAGAAATTAAAAAATCAAGTAAAGGATACGACTGAAACAACAAGACAGTACCAGGGGTAACAGGGCTGTTTCCAAGTTCGAGGTATTGCTGAATTAGGGGAAATGGTCCAGGTTAAAGGCAGTATATGACAGATGCATGACAACTTTGTTTCCAGCCAAGTAAGATCATACATGAAGTCAACAAACAGATACAACCACTACATGGATTTACTGTCAATAGTGGAAGGAAATTATCGAGCAATGTACAGGTTCATATGGTGTTTTATAGTTGGAAAACCACCACACGATCTTTTCCTCGAGTTTTGGGAAATAAGCAACTTCCTACATCAACCATCTCCTCATTATCACATGCGTGCCTATTCCACTGGACCTTGATGCGCTCTTTGTTTTAAACTATGCGAAACAGTTAAAAGGTCTTGGCATTCACTAAATTTCAAATACTCTATCCAGCTCTGCTTAGGCGTACGGTTCCGTGGGAAAGCCACCAGTAAGTGCATCTTGATACCATTTCACGCACTGAAGAATTCGGATGGGTTCAAACACAAACTACGAATGCTTGTCGTGTCTTGAGTTGTTTTGGATAAGTGGAACTTGATTTCGACAAATACGCTTGATTTGTTTCACTTCATCCGGTAAGTAAAATTGGTGCAGAATCAAATATGGAACTGTCAATCACCAGTGGTACGGCGTGTTTTGTTCTGGTTCATTTGCTCACACTTGACCGTCACGAAAAGACTGAACTTTACCACAGGGAAGCCACTTGATCCAGGTCATAAGGAGACTGTTGCCGTCAACTGTGCTTCGCCTTATGGCGGTTCGCGAAACTGACTCGAGAGCAGCAAGCAGGATTCCGGCCAAAGCTTCACCCTCCGTCAGGTGCTAGAAAAAGGCCATACGTACAAACGACCCACACATTTAGTATTCCTGGATTTCCAGGGCGCATTTGACTCAGTTGAATAGTCAATTCCTTTTGATACACCAGCCCGTCAAGGAATACCCCGGAAGTTTGTGAACATAATAAGTTTACTGTATTCTCCGAATCCCAAACGTGACAGTATACGGAGAGCTTTCAAAAAGCTTCCGTACACAAAGCGGTGTCCGTCAGGGATAGCCATTCTCTCCATTCCAATTTAACTTCGTGATCGGTGAAATCATGAGAGGAACGCTGGAAATTCTCCAAAACCCTGGTGTTCAGGTAGCCTGTGAAGAAAACCTTGTCGACCTGGAATATGCAGAAGAGATCGTTCTCGTCCTTGAAGAGAAGGCGCAGGTGTTTTCAGATGAACTGACCAAAGTCATCCCCGCGTTTGATATGCACTGTGCACCCACAAAATGTTGGGTGATTCTCCTGGACATGCAGTCACTGAACACGCCACTTAAAATCCAGGGAGGGGTATTGGAAGTTGTGGGGCGTTTTACGTATCTTGGAAGTTGTATTAGTTCTGATTGTAGGATGACAGATGAGGTCAATGCACGAGACTCCAAGGCCCGGGTCAGGCTTGTTAATATGAGACACCTATGGCATCAAAGTGGTATATCCCTGAATCTCAAAGTACGTGTGTATCATGAGGTCAATGAGACTCCAAGGCCCGGGTCAGGCTTGTTAATATGAGACACCTATGGCATCAAAGTGGTATATCCCTGAATCTCAAAGTACGTACGTATCAGGCCACAGTACGGGCTGTTTTGATGTGTGGCTGTGAGACATGGTCTGTTTGATCAGCGGAACTGAAACGTCTTCAGGTCTTCGACGATCGTTGTCTTGGAACCGTAGCTCGCGTGGATTGGTGTTCGCGAATCAGTAGTGAGGTAATTAGAAAGCGAGTCTTCGGTTGTGCAGAGTGGACTTCCACCGAAGAACGTGACCAGCAACAGAAGCTAGAATTGTTAGGCAATGCGCATGTCGAACCATCATTTTCCGAATAGAGTGGTCTTTTCGTGCCCAATTAAACACGATGTAAGTAGAGAGGTGGCCAAACCTTCACTGGCAGAAGGGTATGAAAGAGATTACGAAAAGTCTGGGTGCTCACCTGCTCACCTTCCAGAATGTGGACCGCGTTATCCCCACCACACCTGGTTGGAGACGCTGCAAGATATGGCTGCCAACCGATGTCAATGGCGTTCTTGTCAGTTTCTCTCCAGATTGCCTGAATGAGTGCCTGAAGGTGTAGGTATCTTGGAATTATTGTGGTAGACTAGTCAATTCCCCGCCCGTTTTTATTTTTATTTTTCACAATAGGACATTCCAGACCTAAAGCTGTCACCTTGTTGTAGGGATCGAGCTTTTGTGCTGCTCGGTGGTGGGCAGCCTGGAACTCAATTCCTAAAGGTTCGCCTAATCCAGGGACGAAGAAAACCGAGTCCCTGTACTGCGAGAAGTTGTATTACCAGGTGGTCTGGAGGTAAAGTCATACTGTTCTCTGCAAAAGAAGTGAAAAGGTAGCAAGACATTTTCTCCCAGGCAACCGGCATATCGATATTTATGAAAGCAGCGATGCTGCCTTCTACCAACGAAGGATGGCTCAGAAAAGATCGGCCCTAAAACCTGCACACTCCAATCACCAAAGGGAGAGCCTTATTTAATACGATCGAAATACTTTTAAAGCGGAAGTGTCCGGTGCTGCTGAAAAGGTAATTTTCCTTTCACCATGTAACAAATCGGGATCGTTTGAAGGATTCCTGCGACATAATTTGAGACAGCATAGTTGACGTGCTACTTGGTTTCGCATGCATTATATTACACTATGATGTCCATTATCAAGCCCTATTTCCTTTACCGATTTTATTACTAGATGTATTTCATGTCTATAGAGCTCAAGCCTAAGGGGGTAGACGTGGTTCTCCGATGATGCCTTCGATTTGGATCGTCAGATCATTCATTTAGTTGTTTTTTGCCGTCTTGCTTCAGCTAGCTATCGAGATCAGGCACCCTGGTTCTGCAAGTAAGATGTGAATTAGCCTACACTCACCTATCATTACGATTCCTAGATAACCCCATGGGAATGAGCATGGCAAGATGTCTCAGACAGGTGAGACGTTTGAGTAAACACGTAACGGCAGAAACAATACTAATATCAATCCCGTTTAAAGCATGGTCGAACTCCTACAGAGTGGGGATCTGGGGGATGATATAACAGCCCGTGCTAACTCTCCCCTTCGCAGGTATATCGGAAGGGGTCGTTGTCCCAGCTGACCGTTAACCTTGGCACGTGGAACGTTGGAGCACCGCTGGGCCAGACTGATAACTAGGGTGACGGTCCTGAAATGTGCAATGGGACTAACGAGAGAGATGAGAATAGATGTCTCGGCCCTCAGTGAAATACAGCTGGCTGATCAAGGAAGTCTTCGTGAAGTTGGTTCTCATATTCCATTGGACTGAGAAACGACCATGGAAAAACGGAGTCATGTCGGTATTGCCTTTTCTGACTACACCAAGAAAATGAACGACAAAGGACCTTGTGGCATGTATCCACACCTTGCTTTACCGCCCCGAATGCGACAGAGTAGGGATGTTTGGGAGAAGAGGTCGTAGTGTCACTTTTCTGTCTTACTGGGCGGTAGGAAAGATGTTAGGTGGCTGTCGCATCGATCTGGTAATATCTAGCTGGAGAATGGAGGGTTCATTTGAGGGTCCACCTTGAGCTATGGGATACAAGAGCGGTGAAAAATGCATGACCTGTTTCGAGGGACACAGGCGCAGCTTACCATCGGACCCAGCAATATGACCTGTGAGGCAGCTGGTGTCAGGACTTTTTTGAAAGACACAAAAGTCTGATCCACTCGACCGTAGACAGTTCGCCTAACTCGAGGGCACAAGAACTCAGGTATATATATTCCTGAATCGTGACGTTACTATGCACAGTTGAGGTGTATGGATTCACATGATCTAGTTTTCTTAACCACGCTGTTTAATGCGCTAACGGTCACGGTCAACCGTTGAGCAAGTAGAGTGTGCGATTAGTAGAGCCGATCTTTTATGACCATTATCTGATTGAAGTCAAAATAACTGCTTTCATAAAGATTAAAATTGTAGTCGCCTGCGACGTTACCTCAGCTTCACTCCAGGGCACTCGTAATATGACTACCAGATGTTCGCTTTAGGTCCTTCTGAGAAATGAAATTCCAGCACATATAGTCCTGGATATCGGCCACAGTACGGGCTGTTTTGATGTGTGGCTGTGAGACATGGTCTGTTTGATCAGCGGAACTGAAACGTCTTCAGGTCTTCGACGATCGTTGTCTTGGAACCGTAGCTCGCGTGGATTGGTGTTCGCGAATCAGTAGTGAGGTAATTAGAAAGCGAGTCTTCGGTTGTGCAGAGTGGACTTCCACCGAAGAACGTGACCAGCAACAGAAGCTAGAATTGTTAGGCAATGCGCATGTCGAACCATCATTTTCCGAATAGAGTGGTCTTTTCGTGCCCAATTAAACACGATGTAAGTAGAGAGGTGGCCAAACCTTCACTGGCAGAAGGGTATGAAAGAGATTACGAAAAGTCTGGGTGCTCACCTGCTCACCTTCCAGAATGTGGACCGCGTTATCCCCACCACACCTGGTTGGAGACGCTGCAAGATATGGCTGCCAACCGATGTCAATGGCGTTCTTGTCAGTTTCTCTCCAGATTGCCTGAATGAGTGCCTGAAGGTGTAGGTATCTTGGAATTATTGTGGTAGACTAGTCAATTCCCCGCCCGTTTTTATTTTTATTTTTGAGTGCCTGGTAGGTATCTTGGAATTATTGTGGTAGACTAGTCAATTCCCCGCCCGTTTTTATTTTTATTTTTCACAATAGGACATTCCAGACCTAAAGCTGTCACCTTGTTGTAGGGATCGAGCTTTTGTGCTGCTCGGTGGTGGGCAGCCTGGAACTCAATTCCTAAAGGTTCGCCTAATCCAGGGACGAAGAAAACCGAGTCCCTGTACTGCGAGAAGTTGTATTACCAGGTGGTCTGGAGGTAAAGTCATACTGTTCTCTGCAAAAGAAGTGAAAAGGTAGCAAGACATTTTCTCCCAGGCAACCGGCATATCGATATTTATGAAAGCAGCGATGCTGCCTTCTACCAACGAAGGATGGCTCAGAAAAGATCGGCCCTAAAACCTGCACACTCCAATCACCAAAGGGAGAGCCTTATTTAATACGATCGAAATACTTTTAAAGCGGAAGTGTCCGGTGCTGCTGAAAAGGTAATTTTCCTTTCACCATGTAACAAATCGGGATCGTTTGAAGGATTCCTGCGACATAATTTGAGACAGCATAGTTGACGTGCTACTTGGTTTCGCATGCATTATATTACACTATGATGTCCATTATCAAGCCCTATTTCCTTTACCGATTTTATTACTAGATGTATTTCATGTCTATAGAGCTCAAGCCTAAGGGGGTAGACGTGGTTCTCCGATGATGCCTTCGATTTGGATCGTCAGATCATTCATTTAGTTGTTTTTTGCCGTCTTGCTTCAGCTAGCTATCGAGATCAGGCACCCTGGTTCTGCAAGTAAGATGTGAATTAGCCTACACTCACCTATCATTACGATTCCTAGATAACCCCATGGGAATGAGCATGGCAAGATGTCTCAGACAGGTGAGACGTTTGAGTAAACACGTAACGGCAGAAACAATACTAATATCAATCCCGTTTAAAGCATGGTCGAACTCCTACAGAGTGGGGATCTGGGGGATGATATAACAGCCCGTGCTAACTCTCCCCTTCGCAGGTATATCGGAAGGGGTCGTTGTCCCAGCTGACCGTTAACCTTGGCACGTGGAACGTTGGAGCACCGCTGGGCCAGACTGATAACTAGGGTGACGGTCCTGAAATGTGCAATGGGACTAACGAGAGAGATGAGAATAGATGTCTCGGCCCTCAGTGAAATACAGCTGGCTGATCAAGGAAGTCTTCGTGAAGTTGGTTCTCATATTCCATTGGACTGAGAAACGACCATGGAAAAACGGAGTCATGTCGGTATTGCCTTTTCTGACTACACCAAGAAAATGAACGACAAAGGACCTTGTGGCATGTATCCACACCTTGCTTTACCGCCCCGAATGCGACAGAGTAGGGATGTTTGGGAGAAGAGGTCGTAGTGTCACTTTTCTGTCTTACTGGGCGGTAGGAAAGATGTTAGGTGGCTGTCGCATCGATCTGGTAATATCTAGCTGGAGAATGGAGGGTTCATTTGAGGGTCCACCTTGAGCTATGGGATACAAGAGCGGTGAAAAATGCATGACCTGTTTCGAGGGACACAGGCGCAGCTTACCATCGGACCCAGCAATATGACCTGTGAGGCAGCTGGTGTCAGGACTTTTTTGAAAGACACAAAAGTCTGATCCACTCGACCGTAGACAGTTCGCCTAACTCGAGGGCACAAGAACTCAGGTATATATATTCCTGAATCGTGACGTTACTATGCACAGTTGAGGTGTATGGATTCACATGATCTAGTTTTCTTAACCACGCTGTTTAATGCGCTAACGGTCACGGTCAACCGTTGAGCAAGTAGAGTGTGCGATTAGTAGAGCCGATCTTTTATGACCATTATCTGATTGAAGTCAAAATAACTGCTTTCATAAAGATTAAAATTGTAGTCGCCTGCGACGTTACCTCAGCTTCACTCCAGGGCACTCGTAATATGACTACCAGATGTTCGCTTTAGGTCCTTCTGAGAAATGAAATTCCAGCACATATAGTCCTGGATATCATTGTAGAATTCATGCCGGAGATTAAGATGGTAGGTTTTGGTACGAATTATCAATGGATGGGACACAAGACACCGGCCTTATGACTTCACTGAGTGCAAGTGTAAAGATATTGGCAGTCGTATCGCGCACAACGTGTACAAGTCTTAGTAGTGAAATTTACTTGGAGTGAATTTCCTGATGAAGGTATGAAGTGTGTAGATTGTGAGCAATGCAGCGTCCGAAAGATTCGCAGAGGGCGCGCAACAGAAAAGGACTTACCGATTGTAGTGGCGTGTCTTTTTCCGCAAGTGTGTGAAGACACGGTTGGATATTTGAATCACTAATATAAACAGAAGTTACAGCGGACTGAAACTGATTGGAACCACTAGCGCAATGTGGTACAGTCATACTAGTGGTGGGTGTTGTCGAAGATTTCACCACAGAACAAGTTGGGACAGCCGATGACGAGGTAGATCCAGTTGACCGATGACTAGGAAACAAGTTGAACTGTGAAAAAGAAGTACACAGTGACAGAATGACTACTGTGGAGTTCCAAAAGAAAGGCAAGTACAAGAAGCTCCACGCCTTCCCCGAAAGCAATGACTTCATGGTTAGGCTTCTCTAAGCTCACTCACAGTTGCTCAGAAGCTTAAAAACACCGAATCTTATCGATCTATCTTATCAGCACAGACAGAAAGTGCCCGTGCGGCATGTTGACAACTCTCTCACTATCGTCATTATCCTCAGTCGTAAACTTGAAAGCCACACATGATTAAAAAGGTTGAAACACTGTTGAGTGGACACTTTGTTGTTTTTAAAAGCAGCTGATTCATGGATTGCTTGGGTTGAAAAGATTATATAACTACTGAGCTGCTTGCCTTTCATAAGCTACGATAGCACTGCAGAACACATGTTGATGCTAGTGAGGACGAGGCCAGATGGGGAGTAATGTTGCAGAAGATAAACGACAAAAAGGAGGATGCAGGTAAATGGAACCCAGAGCATATATATATGCACCTGTGTGTACCTCCTCCATCGTTCAGCTGTAACACCCTTCTGGTGCCTAGCTGCCATGCCACCCGAAGGAAGCACGAGGGCTGGGATACTGCCAGGTTGCCCAAGCCTAGACAGGGAAGTCTAGGGGTAGAGGCCGTGTTCGAACCACGGACCTACTGATCAGTAAATTCGCGCTCTAACCACTTGATCAACCTCGCCTCCTCCTCCACTGGCATACTTGTAGCGAACTGCATGAACTCGGTCTCAATAGGAAAGTCACTAACCTTTATCCCATGTTTGTACCATCTGGAATCTTTGGGCATCACGGAACTAGTGCTTGCAGCAGTAAATGAACAGGACTTGGAAGTTTGTCCGCCTGTGGGCAAATAGAAAACTGGATGGGGTTGATTAACGGAGAAGTCCTTTGGATCCACAAAAATGGGCTTTATTGGTTCAACGCACGGAGGTGCATGGATAGCAGAAAGAGAGCCAGGATTGGAGGCCCGTTTGGAGGAAGCCAGACCACGAGAGAGAGGACGGGGTTTTAAGCGCCGAAAAACCGCACCCGTTTTCGACGAGGCTGTTTCACGGGAAGGCGCGGCGGATTCCATTAGCTCAATCCGAGTATCCCAAGGAATGAATGCGTCAATGGGGGGATATGGGGCCGTATCAGGCGTGGATGCAAGTGAAGTGGTCTGCAAAGCAAATACATGATTCATAAGGCATCCCTGTGTGCTGCATATTCAGTCGAAGAATATATCAAAGGAGAGGTTCAGCTAAGTCTCTCGTTAACTAGTGTGATTCACAAATAAGTGTAGTTTGACCCGTGACTGTATTCCTTGATATGACAGAAGGGTACGCAAATCAGGGGAGGTGAGAAAAGTTTGCGGCGAGTTTTCTTCTGAAGCAGGCTGAGGACGAAATGTGGAGGGCTTTTCAGAGTAATAAAAGTTAAAAATCACTACGTACTTAAATTACGGGGGTTGAAAGGAACCGGCAGTGAAAATATCATGGACACCTGCGGCACGCCAATGCTGTCCATAACCAAGACGGCAGACTTGAACGGCATCGGCTAGAAATATGGTAGCTGGAAAAGATAAACGAGATGTCTTGGCAACATCCCAACACCAACAGTATCAACTGCTACACCTTTTGAATTGTTATCATATGAAATTAAGTTTATGCAACATGTAATTTGGGATCTAATGAGCATTCACATCTGTCAGATTTGGGGTGTGATATACGATCAACTAAGAGTTAAAACCTGACGTAAAGCACCAAAGAAGACGTGACCAACAGAAAACTGCAAAATAGCACTGAACGGTAAGCTCACCGGGGTGGAAATACAATCCACATTATTGCTCACAGAAATCCTATGAATTCGATAGTGAGGACAATCTGTGTGATGCCAGAAGTGGTGATGGTGGGAGCCGCACAAACGTCGCGAAGAAGACGGCAATCGACTGTGCAAGTGACTGGCTTCATCCACTGACATTACCCGCTCGGAGAAGCCACTTCCGGTTAGAAGGCCGGAGGCTGGAGAACTTATCGAGGTCGCCGAAGAGACAACGACCACACTATATGGTCGTTGCTGCATCGGTGAATGGCAGCCAAGAAAAGAACCGGAACCGGGAGTGGTGGGTATACCACTGCTACTACTCCCGCTACTGAATGTAGCATTCCGTGCCACTTCACAGGATCGCTGTGAACGGGGATTAATACGACTTGCAAACAGTTGGTTCTGTGTACCGCGTATAAGACCAGAGGAGGAAGGAATACTGTCATACGTGTTCTTAAATTCAGAGGACTCGGGACAACTATCCTCGTCAACTGTGATCGTGCAACCTTCTGGTGTGCTGAACGATCTATGCCTTTCTCGCCGCCGACGTCCAAGCATGGCCGCCATCCAGTTACTTGTATTGGACACCGTGGTCTCCTTGGGAACTGGAACTGAGAACACAGAAGAGGTAGGACTGAATAATGAGCCTTATTCCCGTGGGATAATATATCTGCATCGTTCGCGTGTGAAAGTTGATAAATTGCGACTGGATGTTGGTTCAGTAATTGGGGTTCATGAAACGATTCTTTATCGCAATAGAGAAGGTCAACTACATAGAGCAGACAACTTTTACCACATGATTTCCCACGAGAAGTGAATTTGGTCACAGGTATTCAGTTTTTTCCATGAAGAAAACTGAACTCAACTTAATCACCTCGTTTTGATGAGTAAAGCAGGTAGCGGGAGAACACAGGTAGTTCTGTCGCAAAGCGACAAACGACGAGTACAGTAAAAATCCGTCCGTTATAGTACACTAGATTACAATACACTCTGTTATTCCGCATTACACCCCATAATGAGTACCTAGATTTTTGACAAGCTCTTGCATCAGCGATGTTGCTATGTTAATGAAGGCAACCTAAGCGAACTCTTTAGCGTATCAACATGAGGAGTAATGTAAAACCTTGCTATTTGATAAGAAAGCTTCATTACCATACGAAACCATAAAGGCTAGAACAGACTATGGTGGAAGACGAAAACCTTAGAAATCGAAAAAAAAACACTTCATATGCTTAGGACGGTCTTCGTCTTCCTCTTCACCAGTACCCACTGCAAGGCTAGGTTGAGTTACATCCACATGAATTTGCATCAGTCCGAAAGGACAAAGTTATATATTTTTGAACAGATGAACAAGCCGAAGTGCATTTGAATAGTGCGGCTTACATAACACTCCAAACTATAAGATAGACTGTTAGATATTACGGACACCTAAAAGCAACCTTGGACCTGGTTATTGTTAACCGAAAAGTGAAGAACCCGGCTGGGAATAACAAGAACCAACCATGCCATCAGGATTTCACTTTCGATCGTTCAGCTGTAACACCCTTCCAGTGCCTAGCTGCCATGCCACACTAAGGAAGCATGAGGGCTGGGATACTGCCAGGTCGCCCAAGCCCAGACAGAAGAAATCGAGAGGCAGAGGTCGGGTTCGAACCACGGACCTTTCCGGTCAGTAAATTCGCACTCTAACCACACCACTTGAGTCGCCCCCAAAAAGTCGTTCACTTTCGATCCTGGCGAGGAAGTCGGCCGGTAGTAAATTTTGAAAATGAATGACCCCACAACACGTTGAGTCGATATCATTGGACAGCAGCATGAACTGGAGATCAAGTGTGTCAAATCTATCAGTTGCTCCCGCCAAACACAATACGCCCTTCGCGACCCGATTACATGGTTTAGGCACTTTGATTATTTAACCTTAACTGTATCTCAAACAGCTGTCGAGAAGTTATTTGTTTTTCAATCCCATCTTCTCTATCAGTTCCAAGGTACATAATGACAGTTGCATATGAACGACCGTACTCACTGTGGTTGGCACATAGAGAAATGACGGGATTTGCCACAGGGAGATCGGAAGCCCTAGCTTCAATGGAACACCGGTGCCGTTCAAGTTGACCTGGGCTCAGTGCATCCACCGGTTCAGCATAATTGCATTCTCCCGTGTCACCACATGTTGCACGGTATGGAAACCGAGCAGATTCGTCATCAGTTGAC